AAGACTATCCATTACATTCCAGTTCTATTCATTAGCAGCACTATTCCATTGCTTGCCTCATGTAAGGAACGACTGGTAAATATGCTTGTTTGCAGCGCGGTGGCCGGTGGTCTCAGGATATTGGCGAGACAAGTGAGGGGAGGTAATGGGGAAAGAGACCCGCTTTCGTGCTGCTGTTCACTTATTCAAGAGCAGAATGAAAAGCTGAGGATCGGGTTAGGGCTTGAAAGAGCAACCCCTCCCCTGGTGTTTCTAGTAATAAATTCATCATTACTAATTAATCAGTATTGCTAATTAATACACTTCCAGCCACATGGCCAAGAGGCTAAAACCACTTCAGAACGCTGGTTCTGTCTCCGTATGTGGCTCCTTCCCACTGATTCAGGCAGTGTTCAGAGCCCTGCCGGTCATTCCCAGGCCGGGGAATTGTGGCTCCGGGCCAGGTGTTGCTTTGGCACAATCCTGCTTATCTCCCAAGAATGGAGGCACAGCTGTCTTCCCTCAGCACAGTGGGGGTATGTCTAGACTACAGAGTTTTTTCGAAAAAAACTTCACCAGTGTCTAGATTGCTGCCGCATTCTTCTGAAATTAAATCGAAAGAACGCAGCGGCTTTTTTGACAGTGGTAAACCTCATTTTATGAAGAAGAACGCCTTTTTTCAAAAGAGGTCTTTCGAAAAAAGGTGTTCTTGAATGCACACAAGGATTTTTTCGAAAGAGAGCATCCAGATTGCCTGGATGCTCTTTCGAAAAAGCTGTGACTATCTATACCATGGGTTCCCAAACTGGGGTGTGTGTGAAGAAATTCCAGGGGGGACACGAGGCAACCCAGCCTCCCCTCCCCCAAGTTTTGCTGCTATTTTATTTTTTCGGCCCCAGTCAGTTCCTTTTTTTTTCCTCAACAAGTTTTGCTGCTATGTGGGGAGGGGGCAGGGGCGGATATAGGGCAGGGCGAACAGGGCGGCTGCCCCAGGCCCCGCACTTCAGAAAGCCCCGCAGAATTATGCTGCCCGGGGCCCCGCAAAACGGTCATCTGCCCCTGGCAGGAGTACATAGTTGGTCTGAGTCCTTTGTAGGAGGGTGTGTCTAGATGGGATTACTGGGTTGAGCAGAGGCCAGCTACAGGTTCATGGGAGAGGGCACCAGAGTTTCTCAAAAATCAGAAAGGGTGCGTGATGCCGAAAAGTTTGGGAACCACTGGTCCAGACAATCTCTTGCAAAAGAGGCTTGTGGACTAGACGTACCCAGGGGGAACAAACTGCAGGGGGAAGTTTCCTTCCTCTGAAATCCAAGCCTGCTTGCTGACAGGACTTTGCCCCAAAATATTTCCTTTGGCTTCCTCTCCGGGTTCCTCGGGCTCACTGCAGCCTTTTGAGGGGATTCCCAGAGCAGACAAACAGACAAACAGCTCATATTGTCCTTTTCATATTTGTTCATTTTTTTAATTGTATCCTTTGCTATATATGGTTGTGACTACTTTCTTCCACTATTTGATCTGAGGAAGTGGGTCTGGCCCACGAAAGCTCATCATCTAATAAACCATCTTGTTAGTCTTTAAAGTGCTACATTGTCCTGCATTTTGCTTCAGCTCATCTTGGTTTAGCAATTGTCAGCGATGGAGAATCCGCTGGGGCCTTGGTAAGCTGTCCCAATGGTTAACTACTCACTGTGAAAATTTCCTCCCTGGTTCCTCTCTGAATCCACCCAGCTGTTGGATCCTGTTAGACCTGCCTCTGCCGGAGGGAAGAGCCTGTTAGTAAATATTTGCCCCCCTCCCCCCGGTGGATACTTATAGATGGGGGATCATGTCATTCCTGCACCTCCTCAGTGTTAGGCCAACAAACAGCTGCAGCTCTGGGAATCTCTCATTTTGAGGCAGGATCAATCATTGTCATGCCGCGTCTCTGAGCCCGCTTCCAGCTATTAGACATGGACTTAATCTTGTCTGTGTACGCCCAGGCTCTCCACCCTGGCTGTCTCTCTAGCACCACATTGTTAGTCAAGTACCACAAAATGGCTGAAATAACGACTTTATTAATACAACATTGAACTTAAAGAACAAAATACGAAATCTGGGTGCCCTAACCAAACAGTGGTGTGAAGCCAAGACCCAAAACACCAACCACCAACGTGAGGCAACAAAAATAATAGGGGATGTTTCAGGATGGAGAAAAGGGAACTGAACGGGACAGATCGCTGCTGCAGAGGCTCAGGAAGATGGCTGGTCTCTTGGTCTGTCTTGAATCTTCTTTTTGTGACACAGCCCCCTGTGTGTGGTGTGTGGGCAGGAAGGCAAGTGGGGGAATGTGAGTGTGTGCATGGACCACAGATCTGGCTGATTGGCCTCACTTAATCTATCAATCTATCAACTGTTTAAAAAGGCAAGCTTTCTAAAAGCGCACCAAAAGAGTAAAAATAATGTTTTCACCTCCCAATATAGGAGACAGACTGGACGGCTAAATAGATTCAAGGTAGTTGCTAAATGTTAGCCATTCAACCTGTCTCCTACACTGGTATTTGTACTCTTTTGGTGCGTTTTTAGAAAGATGGTCTTTTAAAAAAGTTTTTAATATATTATTTTTTGGCTTTTTGGTCTTTCCACACACACACACACACACACCTGC